GACTACAGGGCAGGGTCAGCACTAGCTTCTCTGCAGAGGCCCAGAGAGCAAAAGCTGTGTAAGGAGCACAGTGAGAGACAGAGCACCCCATGTGGCCTTCCTTCCACTTCCAAGCCATGTTCTCTCGCTCACTGGGTCCCTTCTTGGCCCAGGGCCTTCAAGGTTCTCCATGGCTTTCTGCTATTTGCACCAAAAAGGGCATCAGCTAGTACTTGTTGAGCACTGTATATCTGGCGAATGGTTTTACCCTCTTCAGTCTTTCCCACAAGCCTGTGGAATAGGTCTTACTGTATTCACTCCTCAGATGATGCTAGTATGGGGAGGCCACACTCTTTTCTGAACAATAGATGAATTGCAAGTCAGACCCCTGCTCAGAGCTTCTGCCTTCCAGTCCTGTCAGCTCTCCATTACCTCTTATTAACCCACCAGAGACTGAGAATGTAACTTCAGGCTGCAAACTTTCTAGTGGAAAAAGCATTTCAGGGCTCAGAAGGGCTGTGTGGGCCCACAGCAAAGCCTAAGCATGCTGAGGGCAGCCCAGACCATAGGATCCTGCGTGGCTGTCTGGAAGAAGCAGACTCACACCCAGGAACCATGGTCAGGGTTCAGATCTCACAAAATTACAGGAGGTCCAGTTAGATTTCTATTCCAGATAAGCAACAAATTAGTTTTTAGTACTTGTATACCCCCATGCAATACTTGAGACATACTTAACACTAAAATATCACTCAGGGTTTATCTGGAATTCAAATTGCCTGGGTATCCTGAATTGCATTTGGCAACCCTAGAGGCAGAGACCTCAGGAACCACTGCAGAAGGCAGATGAACAGAGGGACACTTGCAGCTCCCTCCGCTACCACTAGTGGGCACTAAAGGCCTGGAAGGGCAGGTGCAGCTGCCTCACCTAGGAGGAGGAACCGGAGGCCTTTTTCTCCCCTGATGGTTTCCTGTGCTCCAGGTCATTTCCTGTCTCCCTTCTCTGCCCCATCCTGAGCCTGCAGTCTCTCCCCACCACCCAGGAAGCTTCCCACGCCTCATGGGCTCTCAACACAGCCAGGTCCGCAAACTGAAATATGCATCAGCCCAAGGTGTCTTTTCTGTGTCCGGGGGCAATAGGAATGGACAGGGGGCCAGAACCCCAGTCCCAAATACCCTCCATGGCAAACCCACTCACAGAGCAGAGGTCTGTCATTGTCATGCAAGGGCCTGGGTCAGAAGTCAGGACAGGCAGGACAGAGGAATTCGTGCCACCCTGGTCCCTGGGGAGGCCACAGGACATTTCCTGTTTTACAAACTGTATGGTTAGATGTAGGTTTTTTTATATTTGTCTTTGAATGAGTTTTACATTAGGAGAAGACCCAATTGAAAATGACTTCAGCTTAAGCACTGGGCCAGCAGATGGGCTGAAGGGAGACCAGACAGGGTGGTCAGAGGGACAGGCACAGATAGAGAAAGGCCAAGGGCAAGAAAGTAACCAGATGCCCTCCTGGAAGAAATGGCCCAAGGATACAGCCATCGGCTAGGCCCCAGTCTCCTGGCTTGTAGAGTGTGCATCAGGGCCAGCCCCATGTCACCTGCATGTCTGCAGTGAAGACAACATGGAGGAGCAGAACTAATGGGATACAATGTCATGGATGTTATCCCCTAAGGATCCTCTCTGGGGATCGTGACGGGGATAAGCTGGAGCAGGAGTCCACGTGGACGTCAGTGTGGCACAGCTGCTGCACTAAACTGCTTCCAGGACAAAAGCACTGGTTCCCAGGACCCCAAGACTTGGCCCCACTTCCTTGCCTCTTCTGCTACTGGGCCTGTGCATCCAAGGGAGGAACAGAGAAGACTCTGCGCCCTTAAGCTTGGCTCTCAGACCACCTCTTCCACACGTTCTGAAGCAGAACCGTGGGAGGGTCCATGCCCGATCATCCCCGCCCTCATCCTCCATGTCACCCCCCCAGACACATACGCACTGCACTTGGGAAATTCAGCATGCAGTTCAGTTCAGAAAGTCTGTGAAGGGTCAAGCATTTAGTGCAGCTAAGCCACTCAGGAGAAGATGCCTGCATCCCATCTCAGAGTGCCTGCTCCACTTCCAGCTCCTGCTGACATGCAGCCCGGGGGGTGGCAGGTGATGGCTCAAGTAGTTGGGTCCCTGACACTCCCATGGGAGACTTCAAGTTCTGGGCTCCTGGTTTCAGCGTTGCTCAACCCCTGCTGTTATAGGCATTTGGAGAGTGAACCAGCAGAAGGAAGATCGGCTCTCTCTCTTTCTCTCTCTCTCTCTCTCTCTCTCTCTCTCTCTGCCTGTCTCTGTCTGTTGCTCTGACTCGCAAATAAGTAAAAATAAACAAATAAGTTTTTCTTAAGTCAAGTCTGTGACAGCTCTACCTGGCCTCAGCGGGGCTTCAGGTACCTACCCAGAGCACCCAGAGTGGAAAAAAGACCTCAGAAGTCAGCTCTTGCAGACCCCTCATTCCCTTAGCAGGAAGCAGAGAGGGTGTCCCAGGTCACAGCAGAGGCTCAGATGCCACTAAACCCAGTCAGTGCACATGGTCCTGACCTCCTGCTAATTGTCCTGACATTTTAGTAAATGCTAATTTCTGAGAAAAACAAATTTAAAGTCCACAAAAGCCTGACACAATTCACTTTCACAACTAATAAATGAAAGACCACACATGGAGAAATAAACAAGCAAATGTTTTTTAAAGAGAAGATGTCTTCAAGGCAGGTATTGCAATAAAAATTATACTTAAGGAACAAGTAGAGCCTTGTAACTTGCTTTGTTCAATTTATTCTCCAAAATCACTGGGTCTTAAAATAAACAGCATTGGCTCTGCAGCTAGGGCTGAGCCCGCAGCCTGGTTCTGTTGTTTATCATCCATGTGGCCTGGGGCAGGGTGTGCAAACTCTCTAGCCTCAGTTTCCCCACTCACCAAGTGGGGATAAGACAGCATGTAGAACACACGCTGAGACGAATAAAGGAGATGGTGCCCAGTGCATGGCATGTGGGCAATCACGGCTGGAGCGGGCACTGGTGAGAATTCTCCACGCTGTCCCAGGTCAGAGTCAGCAGGAGCCTCCGGCCAGGTGCCATCATGAGCCGCATGAACGGTTGCTGGAGTTCAGACTACTGTGTCTGGGGAATGGCTGCTGGGCCTGGAACTCTGCCGCTTCTTCCCAGCACATCTGTGGAAGCCATTGCCTCAACGTGCAATTGTATCTGGAAATAGGGCTATAAGGTGAGTAAGGTTAAATGCACTCACAGGGGTGCTGTCTTAACCTGATAGGACTGGTGGCCTTACTGAAGAGGAAGAGAGAGAGCAGTGTCTTTCCTTGTACAGCCATATGCACGTACCAAGGACAGGCCACGTGAGCACACAGCAAGTAAGGCAGCTGTGCACAAGTCAGGAAGAGGGCCCACCCCAGAACCCAGCTACGCTGCCATCCTCATGTGGCTTCCTCCAGTTTCTGTTGTTTAAGCTTGCCAAGTCTCTGGCATTTTGTTATGGCAGTCCCAGCTCACTATGACCAAGAACAACCCTTGTGGCACCCAACCCTGGCAATGGATTCCAACAACAGGGATGGAAACCCACATCCCACACCCTGGCAGTGGATCCCAAGGCAGTAGCACATGGGTTAGATCCAGACAGCCTGGAATTCGATCTCAGTTCTGTCACTACCAACTGTGTGATGTTTGGAAGCCAGTTAGGCATCTACTGGAATAATGGAAGTTCAAGACTATAATGAAAGGGACTGGTGTTGTGGTATAACAGGTAAAGCCGCCTCTTGTGGCACCAGCATCCCATATGGGCACCAGTTTTGAGTCCCAGCTGCTCCACTTCTGATCCAGCTCCCTGCTAATGACCTGGGAAAGCAGCAGCAGATGGCACAAGTGCTTGGGCACTTGCACCCACATGGGAGACCCAGAAGAAGCTCCTGGCTCTTGGCTTCAGACCAGCCTAACTCAGGCCATTGTAACCCTTGGGTAGTGAACCAGCATATGGAATATCTCTCTCTCTCTCTCATTTTCAAATAAGTAAATAAATATTTTTAAAAGACTATACTGGTTTGAAAGAAGGTGAAACAGAGGAGATATGGCTGTAGTTTAAAGATAGAACAAGGTGACTTGCAGAAGTTTGATGTAGAAAGCGGGAGAATGAAGGGTCGAGAAAAGCTCCAAATCTATTTACTGAGATTAGGATGATGCCAGAAGTTGGATGGATGAGAAACAGATGATTCATGTTAGATATGTCAGGTTTTTTAAAAGATTTATTTATTTATTTGAAAGTCAGAGTACACAGAGAGAGGAGAGGCACAGAGAGAGAGAGAGAGAGGCCTTCCATCCGATGGTTCACTCCCCAATTGGCCGGAGCTGTGCCAATCCTAAGCCAGGAGCCTGGAGCTTCCTCCAGGTCTCCCACGTGGGTGCAGGGGCCCAAGGACTTGGGCCATCTTCCACTGCTTTCCCAGACCATAGCAGAAAGCTGGATCCAAAGTGGAGCAGCTGGGACTCGAACCGGCGCCCATATGGGATGCCAGCGCTTCAGGCCAGGGCGTTAACCCACTGCATCACATCTCTGGCCCCAGATATGTCAGTTTTTGTTTTGTTTGTTTGTTTGTTTGTTTGACAGGCAGAGTGGACAGTGAGAGAGAGAGACAGAGAGAAAGGTCTTCCTTTGCCATTGGTACACCCTCCAATGGCCGCCGTGGCCGGCGCGCTGCGGCCAGCACACTGCGCTGATCTGAAGGCAGGAGCCAGGTACTTATCCTGGTCTCCCATGATGTGCAGGTCCCAAGCACTTGGGCCATCCTCCACTGCACTCCCTGGCCACAGCAGAGAGCTGGCCTGGAAGAGGGGCAACCGGGACAGAATCCGGCGCCCCAACCAGGACTAGAACCCGGTGTGCCGGCGCTGCAAGGCGGAGGATTAGCCTAGTGAGCCGCAGCGCCGGCCCCAGATATGTCAGTTTTTAATGCCTATTAGACATCTGAATGAGACACAGGGAGGTAGTTAGATACCTAAGATTGGAGTTTAGGAAAGAAGTTGAGGCTAAGAGATAGCTTTGGAGTCATGAGATTGTACAAGAGATTTACAGCATGAAACTGAATGAGATCACCAAGGGAGCAAGTGCAGATTGAAGAGTAGGAAGTCAAGGGCTGTGCCCAGGCTATGCCCACATGAAACTCAGGGAAGCTGGCAGCAACCTGCAGAGGAGACTGAGAAGGAGTAAGTAGTCGGCACAGGTAGCAGGAGCCTAGTATCTGCAGCTATTGTCTGTGTGTCCCTGCTGCCGTATTGGTCACATCAGTGCCGCACCTTGCCTCAGAGTGATGTTATCTAAAGCTTACGAAGGGTGGCTGCAGGATCTGGAAAGAGGAGAAATTCTTCCAGACAAATGTCGTCATCAGACCTGAAGAAGAGCAGAATTAAGGAATCATGCACTCAGTTACATAGCGATAAAAGGTAGTGCAATAAAAGAGGAAGGCTCTTAACCAGCGAAAAGTAAGGACAAGAAAACATTCTCCAGGTATAAAAGGAAAAAGAGGAGGAAGAAGGGAAAAAGTTTAGCCACTTCTGCCCCTTGTAGCACCTGCTTCCACCCAGCTAAATGACAGAAGAATAAGAGACAATGACAACAGGAGCATTTTTAAGTGTTGTCTTTATTTTTAAAGCTCAGCAATAATCATAAATTAGGGTGTCTCATTTGATGGAAGGATAAAAAGTCACTCTTGATCATGGCAGGCATAATTAAAAAGAGTCCTGTTGGGAGTTACATTTTGTAACTAGCTTGCCCCTCTGCCTTGCATCCTGAAGGCACGCAGGGAAGTGCAAATGCTTGGCACGGGTGTTAGATTCACGGAGTCTGGAAGACACCCCTGAGGACTGTGATGGGCAGATGTTGAGACATCCCTCACACGGAGGTAACCCTCCAGGTACAAAGGCAACGGCTGTGTCTGCACCAGGCAAGATGTAGATCAAATATCCAAACAATTCATGTGCAGCCACCTGGAAGATGACAAGATGTGACAATTTTGCTAAAGTATCCTTGAGGAACAGCAGAAACTGCAGGGCCAAATTCACAACCTCAGAGTCCACAGAGATGGAGGGAGACAACAGCTGAGACCTTAAATTACTTGGAGGTTCTTCCTGAGAAATCCACAGGCTATATTTACAGCATCCGTGTGTAACAAAGAGAGCCACCTTTCACTGAGCACTTGTGGGCACTGACTAAACAAACTCTGCATGAACTCTTGTTTGATTCCAGCAGCAACCTTGTGAAGTTTGGGTGCTATTTTTACTCCCTTTTACAAATGAGGTTTAAAAGGAATCAATTGACCTTCCTACACACCTACTAAGCAGCTAAGGTAGAGCCTTGACCCTGAGGCTGGCTACCTGTACAGTCCACACTTGTAATCCCATATCATGGCTTCCTTTCTGGGGGTTCTCTTCTTTATGGCCATCCTTGTCCACTTTTGTCCTCATTACCAGTAAGGCTTCAGACTCCACTTCCCTTGTGATCAAGGTACAGTGACAGGCACATGGTAGGTGCTCATAGATACTTCCTGAGTTAAGCACCTGGGATCAGTTTTCAATTGGCTTCTCCAACAAAGAAGGAGAGTGAGGAAGCTCAATTACAAGATGGAGTGGAGTCTGGCGCCACGGCTCAATAGGCTAATCCTCCGCCTGTGGCACCGGCACACCGGGTTCTAGTCCCGGTCGGGGCGCCGGATTCTGTCCCGTTTGCTCCTCGTCCAGTGCAGCTCTCTGCTGTGGCCTGGGAGTGCAGTGGAGGATGGCCCAAGTGCTTGGGCCCTGCACCCCATGGGAGACCAGGATAAGCACCTGGCTCCTGGCTCCTGGCTCCAGATCAGCGCAGTGTGCTGGCCACAGCGCGCCAGCCGCAGCGGCCATTGGGGGTGAACCAACGGGAAAAAAAGACCTTTCTCTTTCTCTATGTCTCTCTCTCTCACTGTCCACTCTGCCTGTCAAAAATAAAATAAAATAAAAAAAGAGGAAATGGAGAGGCAGGGAACCCGAAGCCCCAGTGACCTGGGGTGAGATCCATTTCCACACGACTCTGAGGAACATGAAAAGCAGACCCATTTGCTCTTGATCCATCCCTGTGCTCCTGTCCTTGTCCTTTTTCTCAGCCCAGCATCTGATTCATGTGACAATTCCCATTTTATCCACAATGTTGTGTCAACATGGTATCAAAACAACTGGTGAAGTAAATATGCGGTGTCAGGCAATCACCCAGGCCCTTACTTGTCTTACACTTTATCGTCTATAACTCTTGCATAATATTGAATAGGCCTGACCCAGGGAGAAAGACTTAGTCAAAATTTCTTTTGTCCAGAACATGGGCATCTACATGATAACTTAGGAATGCCCGCTAATCACATTTTTTTAATGATAAAGCAAGAATCCTGGCAATTCCTCCTCCAGAGGCGTTACTATCTCAACACAAGAGATATCAAACAGATTATATCTATGCCAAAGACATATTTTCAAAGCCAGAATTCTAGACACATTGTTAGGCAAAAAGATTTTTAAGCTGCTTTCATAGCCAAAATACAGCTTGAAGATGTAGTGTAAATGACAAAACACTAGAATTTCAGGGGATATTTTAATGGTTTATGGAAACTGTGAAAGAATAGCTGATATTGGGATAGTACCAGAAAATCTAAGAACGTGATCATGCTATCAACATACTAGGCTATTCTTGGAAGACATATTGCCCAACCATTCTGTTGGCCTAAAGTTCAGCATCAAATTCTTTAACAGCAGATCTATGAATAATCTTTAAGCCTCAGGTCTATGGCCTGAATTTAGATCAATATCTTAGGGTCCAAGTACTAGAAGTTGCCAAAAATTTAAGGATCTTCTTTCTCTAAAAATGATTCTTTTTTCCTGAAGCTGTCCAGTGACTCAGGGTGTCAGCACCAAGGACAGAGCCCACTTAATCCAAGAGTGCTGTCCAGTTTCTCAACTCTGCAGCCAAGAAATGTTTGTGAGTTCACAATGGAGCTACAGAATATAAGTAGCTCAACATTTTCCTTTGATAGATGAACAGTCTGGGTCCCTGAAAGACCAAATGACCCACTTCACATGCCAGAGCCACCCAACACGAGAACTCAGGCCTTCTAACTCCCAGCTCTGCATGCTTCATCTGAAACATGTCGAGACCTGAAATTACATCAAAATCATTTCCTGATTTTTCTGCATAAAGCTTCCTGGAGTTTTCAGGACTCAGTCAATGTTAGAACCAAAATTAAACATGTTTGAGGGGAGAAATAAAGTAGAAAATATAAAGGAGAGAGAAATCTTCATGGCTCTTCAGTTAGGAAAGCCTTTTTTTTTTTTTTTTTAATTATCTCCTGGGAGCATGACCAGTTGGAAAGAGAGTACAGGTAATGAAGCACGAGTAAGTGAATTGCTCTTGCCAGAATCACAGCTTGTGGAGAACGGATGGCAGAAGGAAAGCCCCAAACAGCCAAACCCAGGACTGAGGGGTAGAGTGCACATACCATTCCCCACTCTCAAATCCCAGCTGGCCCGCAGCACATGTTGGGACTCTAATGAATGCACACAACACCAGGTTCTTGGGTTAAGCCCAGGCACAGCTCCTGTCCTTGGAGATGCACTCGGGCCAACATGCCTGAGTCATCAGCCACACCACAGTGAGAACAAATCTGGGCTCTCCCATATGGGAAACCTCCCATCTGGAGGATTCAGGGGACTGTGTGGATTTAGGCAATTTATATGAATCCTCCGAGTCTGAGTGTCCACCTTTATAAAGCAAGAAGGTTGGAGTGGATGATTGGAGGATTTTTTTTCTGAAGCAACATCCCAGGATTATCTTTCTAGGTGAGATACAAAGGACTGGAAAGATACCATTAGGTAGTGAGTCTCTGGCTCTGCAGGTCAAGTACAATGACTCCTTCCCCCAACTTTTCCTACCAATCAACAGTAGTTATAAACCTGGGATTACCTGAGACTCATATGCCTGTATAGTAATATTAACTATAGAAATGCAAAAAGCATGGATATTAATATAGGGAAGGTTACATGAGTCCAGTCGGTGGGACATCTGAAGACAACTTTTATTCTGATGAGCTGGCCACCAGCAAGAGTCTAGCCCTCATCCTTGCAAACTAATAAGCTCAAAATCTAGCAGGATTCCCTAGTAAAATTTGGTCAGATTTGGGGACACCAGTGCACACTAACAAAGCTTGCTTAGAGACCAATGAATAAGACCAGAATGTCAATTAAGTGAACTAAGAAATATATCTGTCAAATGGATTAGAAATTTTTTCAAGCTGACCCCAACCTTTACATGGGAGCCAAATTATAGAATCATGGAGAAAGTGGCCCAGAGGAGTTCATTAATTCACTGGCTTGCTTAATGACACAGGCTCTACCAGCCTGTTGTGCCCATTTCCACAGTGCAGATTTGATTGTCAGCAGATTGCCAGGTGAGCTGCACCTGGATGAGGCTTTGATGGGCTCAGTTGCTTTCACACCAATGTTCCCCTTCCTTTTGCTGCAATTTCTCTTCCAGATGACATGTCCTTTGTGTGTGTATATACCCTCTGTTTGTCATAGAGTCTCTTTGCCTTGTTGGCATTCTCTTTCTTATCTCTGTGTCTCTGCTCTGATCAGCCACAGAATGGTCAATAATTTGACTATTACTTTCCTGCCAAGTTTGAGCACCAAAGGATGGATGCTGTAGGAGTTACCTATTGTAACATCACAGGCCACCTGCAAGCTTGCAGTGATGTAGGATTTCTTGTGCATCTCTGGACCAGCTGATGTTGGCCAGGCCTGCTCCTGTGTCCAAGAGCCTGCCTGGTGTCATCTGATCCAAGCCACAAGGGAGGCTGGGAAATGTGGTCTTTGTTCTTGCAACATCGTGCCTAGCCAAGATTATGTTACTGAGAAAGAAGGGCGAACTGATATTCAGAGACAACAGTTTTGCCCTGTGGCAGATGGTGAGTCATTGAAGAATTTTGAAGATGGGAATGAAAGATCTGATTTGCATACTGGAACAATCACATGCTGTGTGGAGCAAATATTGAAAGTGATTGCTAGTTCCCTGGTCTCTGCTGTGGAAATACCAGGTCAAGGGGTTTGCGCCATGAGTCGAGGGGTGAGCGGGTGACTACAGGGTTAGCATCATTTGTTCCAAGAGTGAGGGGAGGATACTTCTCCAGCCCTTCCCCCAGCTGAGCCAGCCACATTTAGAATAAGGATGTCTGTTAAGACATGACTCAACTTGTTGAGAACACCGCAGTTGTTTGCTTTGTACTCTTATTTTTCACAATTTTCCCATCGTGAATGTGTATTTCTTTTCAGATGGGAGGAAAAGAAAATCAAAAACAGAAAACCAAAAGCCCAAGATGCTGCCTTGCTAGGTCTCCCGTGGAAAAGGGGGAGGACTCCTGGCCAGAGAGGAAGGAAGCTCCCTAGCTCCTGTCAATCAACCCCTGCAGGAGTGTTCAGATAGAGGAGCCCCCTCCCCCCACCAAAGGGTACCTACCACAGCCAACAGATTTGGCTATGGGCCTGTGCATGCTCCCTGCATCCCATTGGCCAGCACTGGGCTCAGCCCTGTCCCACACTCCAAGATTCGGTTAATTTCATCAAAGGCTGCTCAGGTGCCTTCTGTGCACCAGGAGCCGCAGATACAAAACTAAGGAAGCCTTGGCCAGTGGCCTGGAGGAGCTCACAGAGAGAGACCTATTAGGACTGGCCTGCTCTGGCAGTGGGAAGCTGGCTAGAGCTGAATGTTCATGCTCCTCTGGCAGATGGAGATGGAGGGGTCTGGGCCAGAAAGGAACGCCTGCGGGGACAGAGCTGAGAAGGGAGCTCAGATTCTGTTACCACCCCCACCTCCTGGGAGAAGCCCAAGTAGAGATAAACAGAGCGTTGGCCCTGCCTGAGGACAGAGCGCCCAAATGTGCCTGTGCCTAAAGCACCCTCCCTTTCCCTCTGTGGCAGGTAGG